CCCAGGTGCTGAGTGCCCAGGTGGGGCACAGAGGGGGCACGGCAGCTCCCCCCTCCGTCCTGAGGCGCCCCCTCCCCCATTGGCATACCCTCGATTGCCTGGGGCTGAGTGCCCAGGTGGGGCTGGCTGTCCCCATGGCCCTGCCTGATGGATCCTGCTTCCTTCTAGACTCCTGCAGGAGCTAAGATCTGTACACTGGCTGCCCCAGGATGACTCCAAATGCTACCCCTTCCCGGAGCTACAGCGGGCCCTGGCCCAAGAGAACGGCCGTGCCCGAGGCCTGCTCAGGAGGTTCCTCACCCTCTCCTCAGCCATTCTCGAGCTGGTAAGGCAGGGTTGGAGCCTCGGGGAGACTCTCCACCTTTGTTCTCTCCCTGTACTCCCAGTGCCCCTTGGCTTCTCTCCCCGAGTGCCCCCTGCTGGGAGGGGTCAGAACTGCAGTACCAGGAGCTCTACAGCCAGTGCTCCTTCCCTGCTCCCTACAGTGCCCTCTGATGGGAGCTCCCCCTGCAGCCCCTACAGCTCTCCTGCAGGGAATGGCCAGGAGCTCCACAACCCCACAGCCAGTGCTCCTGCCCTGCTCCCTGTAGTGCTCCTCCAGCACTGGGAGAGGAGTAGCTGGGAGTTCCCCTCCACAGGTCCTCCTCTCCCATGGAAGCTCCACACCTGCCCTATGGACCCTACAATAGCTCTGGGAGCTCTCAGGGTTGTGTCCCCCAGTCAAACCAGGACACAGTGCTTCTGCCATGTTTGATGTTTTTATCAGAGACCTTTTAGGACCCTCTCTCTCCATTCCAGAGCAGCAAGAAAGAGTCTCCTGGAATAATGTGGGGCTCCATAGCTGGGAGAGATTTGGGCAGCTCCCTTCACTCCTTCCCCATCCCACCCTGAGCACCGACAGGGAGATGGGTCTGTGCAGGGAACCTGTCTTCTCAGCCCTGCTGTGTCCATGTCCTTGCAGGTGCGGGATGACACATACAAGACAGTGCACGGGCTGCAGACCCAAGTGCAGAGCTACAAGCTCTACATCACCAAGGAGTCCCTGTATAAGCAGAGAGTCCACTACAGGGACCTGGAGAGGAGGCTGAAGGAAGCCGAGTTCTGGATGCAGAGGCTGGGCAGCCTGGCCCAGCTGGTGAACCTCCTGACCTGCCAGAACCTGGTCTCCATCGTGCAGGAGGAGGTCACAGCGTTCGTCAGCAACGTCATGAAGGTGAGGCAGGAAAGAGGAGGCTGGAGGCTCTGAGTGTTCCGCGCCCTGGGCCTGTCTCTTTCTCAGTCTGACATTGGCATAGATTCAAAGAGTTGAAGGCCAGACAGGACCATTAGGTCGTCTAGTCTGACCTACTGATAGCTCAGGCTAGAGATTCCTGCCCAGTTCCCCCTGTACTGAACCCAGTCACTTGTGTTTAGCTAAAGCAGCGGTCTCCAAACTTTGGAGGGCCATGCCCCCCCTTACCCATGTCCGCGCCCCTCTGAGCCGTGGCCGTGAGGGATGCAGACAGGGTAAGAGAGCCGAGGCTGGAGCCACAGCCGGGGGTGGGTCTGGGGCCAGGGGCTGGGGGTGGGAGTGGAGCCAGACTGCGGTGGGGACTGGCAGCTGGGCCCACAGCCTGGTGCAGCTACGCTCCCGGCCCTGCCCCTGCCCCCAGGCCAGGAACAGAGCAGCAGCCAAGGCTGAGGGCAGGGGTGGGTTTGGGAGTGGAGCAGCAGCCGGGCTGGAGACTGGGGCCAGGGCCAGGTGCAGGGCTGGGAGCTGGGTGGGGCTGCAGCTGCGGGCCGGGCCAGATCAGAGCTGGGGGTGAGGAGGGACTGGGTGGCACTCCTTCCCGCTGCCCGTGGGGGCTGGCCTGGGCCCTGCCGCCCCCCCCCAAAGGTTCCTCTGTGCCCCCCTAAGGAGACGCACCCCACAGTTTGGGGACCTCTGAGCTAAGCCATCTTCCAGAAAGGGCGTTGAGTCTGAAATAGAAGACTTCACGAGATGGAGATGTCTGGCTGTCTTGCCAGTGTTTTCCCCAGGAACTGAAATTAGGGGGGGTGTTTGAATTTACGGGGCGGGGGGGGGGATGTCAGGGCCGATGAGGGGCAAGACCATGAGGGTGAAGGTGGGCTGTATGGCACCATAGTAAAAACTGAAAAATGTTTCATGACTATTTTATTAGATTTAATTCATGTTTTAAAATCATCACACAAATTAAAGTTGTCTACTCAAGCCTTCTATTTGAAGCACTACATCTACATCCTTCTTGGTTTCTTGTTATAATTTTGCACAGCTCTGTTAATGAACTTCTTGACTGCAATGCGTTCATCTTTGGTGGCTTCTCATGTGTCCGGTACTTCCATTCCTTCAGTTGATATGCTCATTAGTTCATTCACATGATCAGGCAGAAGGTGACTTCTTAAAGAACACAAAATTCTATTTAGTGATGAAAAAGAACTCTCAACTGTAGCTATTGTGACTGGGAGGAGCAAGAGATGAATTCCTACTTCTTTCATCCCAGAAAACAGAACACAAAGATCGGATTGAGCCACTAGTGATGATAAAAAAGAAGTTGAAGTCAAATCTTCATTCATTCATCATATGATAGTCCACTCTGTGTTCAAATTCTCTATTCTGTCCTGAGCACATGGCAGCCCCATTGCTGGTAGTGCCTCACTCCACTCAACTGTCGGTGTTTTATAGGACAGGCATCTGTAAAAGCTACGTAGAGGTTGAGTAGAAGTCGCTGTTGTAGATTTTTAAGAATCAAGTCTGTACTTTTTCAGTTGTCTTAAGCACGTCTTGTCCTCTTCACTTAAGGATTCAATATAAATGCCGTCATTAGTCAACTTCTGGACTGAAGTCTTTGCTTCTTCCAGTGCTTTTTCAGTGGATAGATCTCGGATTGATCCAAATGTAGCTTCTATTGCTGGACAAAGATCTACTACTGTTGTGGCAGATGCCTGGATACCCAAGTGGTTTCAACAGTAGACTTGCGAGAGAGAGAATGGCAGTAGTCTTCTCTGAACATAGTAGCAAAAGGAATCCACCAGCCTCACTCCTTGGATCCATCCCATCTTGGTAGATACCGTATATACTCGTTCATAAGCAGAATATTTTTGGTAAAAAAGTGATGCATCAAAGAGCGGGGGTCGGCTTATAAATGGGTCTACACCAAAATGTGATGATTTTAAACTCTATGGAATCATTGAATTGAATATCTAATACATTGTCGTTTTGTTTACCTGACACGCCACTTCCCGCAGCTCCCATTGGCTGGGAATGGTGAACCGTGGCCACAGGGAGCTGAGGGGCTCCATTCCTGCAGACACTCCAAGTAAACAAAATGTCCCGACCTGCCAGCAGCTTACCCTGACAGCCGGGAGCCAAAGTTTACCAACCCCTGAAATATAGGGTCGGCTTATGAAAGGGTAATACAGTTTTTGCTATTTTTATCTAACCATCTTGGGGGGTTGGCTTATAACTAAACGGGCTAATGAACGAGTATATATGGTTCTTTCCAAAGCCAGTAATAATGGCTCAAGTAATTTTAAGACAATAGCCAAGGATCACTCATGAGAAAGCCAGAGGGTTTTCCCAGGTTGGACTAATTTGAACTTCAGTCCCAGTGTATCTTCTATATTTTCCAAGATACTCAGTCTTTTGGGACTCTTGCTGAAAAAAGAATATAATGAAGAAATTAAATTTATAGCTTTTTTTAATGTCTTTTGAAGAGTCTGCAGCTCATACTAGCGCTAGTTGGAGTAGATGGCCTCTGCAGTGTGTATAGGAGAGATTAGGGTTACACTTTTCTCTGAGCAAAACTTGTACTCCACCATGTCTTCCAGAGAAGTTTGCAGCTCCATCAAATGCACAAGCAGCCATCTGTTTGGGGTCCAATTGACAAGCATTTACCTCTTCTACGATGTGGGTTGTCACAGATGCAGCTGATGTGTCTTCTATAACTTGAACATCTAGAAATGCATCTACTGGCCAACCACTGACATCAAGATGACTTAATACTTGATACCCATTTGCATCGGTGCATTCATCAGCCATGTATGCAAATTTTTTGAATGTGGTGAGAGAGTTCTTCACTTTTTCAACTGTTGAGTCTTTCACTGTTGCACCACATGCTTCTAGCCAGTCAGTTGAGTTTCTTGCAGAAAGATAGTGAGCATTTGCTGGTCTTGTTCAGAACCAGTGTTCAACTTCAGGATGAACAAGTGACAATGCACTTAGCATTGGCCTCCAGTTTGTAGTGTGTGGTATCTCTTGCTTAAATAGAAAGTAGGATGCCACAGCCATGTTTGTTTGGATGAACTGTGTTGTGTCTCCAGCATTCTTAACAGCCTCATTAACACTCACTGGTGTTGTCCTTGGTCAGAGGAGACTCAGAGTTCAGAGGTGCTTTCCCATGAGTTCAGCTCCCAGGTGGGGGGCAAGAAGGCACCTTGCTCGTTCCTCCAGCTGCTCACTGTTCGCTCTGGCCACTGCTGTTCGTTGTGCCACTGTTCACGCCGTCGCTCTGTTGCCAATGGTCCTGCGCCATCACCTGCTGCTGCCACCTGCCACTGTGACCTCTACTGGTCACTTAACAAAACAAAAGACTGTCTATGGCTGGGGTGGGCAAACGTTTTGGCCCAAGGGCCACATATGTATGGAAATTGTATGGTGGGCCATGAATGCTCACAAAATTGGAGGTTGGGGTGCGGGAGGGAGGGCTCTGGGATGGGGCCAGAAATTAGGAGTTCAGGGTGCAGGAGGGGGCTCCGGGCTGGGGCAGGGGGTTGGGGTGTGGGTGGGGGGGTGAGGGCTCTGGGTTGCAGGAGGGTGGGACCGAGGGGTTCGGAGGGCGGAAGGGGGATCAGGGCTGGAGCAGGAGGTTGGGGCACCGGAGCAGGTCTGGGGTGCAGGCTCTGGGCTGCACTTACCTCAAGCAGCTCCCGGAAGCAGCGGCATGTCCCCGCTCTGGCTCCTAGGCGGAGGAGCAGCCAGGTGGCTCTGCGCACTGCCCCATCTGCAGGCACCACCCCTGCACCTCCCATTGGCCCCGTTTGCGGGCCAATGGGAGCTGTGAAAGCAGTGCTTGTGGCAGTGTGCGGAGCCCCATGGCTGTCCCTACGCATAGGAGCTGGAGGGGGGGATGTGCTGCTGCTTCCGGGAGCTATGTGGAGCAAGTCCCCGACCCCACTCCCCAGCAGGAGCTCGAGGGCTGGATTAAAATGTCTGAAGGGCCAGCTGCGGCCCCCGGGCCATAGTTTGCCCACCCCTTGTGACTCAGGCAGATCATCAAGCAAAACACTTGTCCCCACCCTCTCTTTTGATGCCCTCAATCAGCACAGGCTAAATACAGTTCTACTGCCATTTACTCCTACAATAAGAATGCTGGAGGCAAAGCAGAGTTTAGGGTGGAGGGTAACAGCTTGCGACCCCCCATGTAGACCTCCTGAGGGGTCCTGACCCCAGTTTGAGAATCCCTGATTTAGACTTTGCTTACAAATCATAATTTGAAATTATTAGGTTGGCCAACATCACCGAAATAAATGCACTGACATTGTCATAAAGAACAACAGCTGTATACGGAAGCTAGTCTATGTTCATACTTTTCAAATCTATTATACTTTTTTCCGATAAATATCTTTTATCATACACTTTATATGCTTTTAAAGTGTGTATTCATGTTTCAATGTTAATTCACTAAACTGGCAACACTGCATGTAACTAGTTCACAAAACGGGGGAGGGGGGGGTTGGGGAAATTCAGGGGGGGTGTAGGTGTCCTGCAGTGGCTCAAGAGCATCGGTAACAACCTCCGAGCAGACTGTTAGGAACCAGGGCACAAACCCCAGGCTGGCTGTGAGTTCTGTACTTCGATTTCACCAATGAATGATCAAGTGTGAATCCCTCAGGTACTATAACAGCCTGAACGCTGAGTCCCAGACGGTCCCCTTGGGTACACCACTCTGTCTTGTCATCTAGGTCCCCAGGGTGAGCCCATGGGGAGCTCAAATGACACCCCCATGCCTCCTCGCTTGGGCCAAAACTTTGAAAGGTCTCAGCCATTGGATTCTGCCTTCTTCCTGTTCTACTCCTCTCATGGTACTGCTCTGCTACCTACCCCAATAAAGGAGAACTAACAACTTAAAATGCCTTGTTCAAAAATTTTAAGTAACACTTAACTTTCAAACGCCTGAACTGAAAATGTAACTTTTCTTGTCTGCATAGTAAACA